GGCATCCAGAGAGGAACATAGTGCAATCCAATGTCGAAACTGCGACCCTCCTTGAGATAGAAGTGCATGTGGTATCCAATACATGCCTCCCTTGAAAATGTACACCACCTCTTGGAGCTTCTGTGACTTCGCTACAGCACATTAGGGCACGTCACACACGATGTGGGAAACATGGACCTGGCATATGGTAGACATTCCGTAAATATTTGTTGTGTAAGCAATTTGGGGTACCCTTTCCCTTTCAGGGTCACACTAGAATGCTAATGTGGAATGAGGAAAAAGAGTCGTTAGTCTTAGGCTGTTCAATACAGTAGCCACTGGCCACATGTGGCTTTTGAGTACGTGGAAATGAGGCCAAGTCTGAATTGAGATATGCTGTATGTATAAACTACATACCATATTTCATAGTCTTAGTCCAAAAAAGTAAACTATCTCAGTAATATTTTATATTATTTACATATTGAATTGTTATATTTTAGATATAAAGTATATTATTAAAATTGATTTTACCCATGTCCTTTTATGATTTTTAATGTGGCTACTTGATTCTAGTAGCTAGAAAATTTGAAATTAAGTACATATGTGGCTCACATTATATTTCTATTGGTCAGCACTGCTCTAACCACTGAACTCTCATGGTCAAAGCTGAGGTCTTCTTAGTCCAAGACCTCAGGGGACTCCAGGAGTCTGGAGCTCCTTACTTCTAGGCCATGAGGCTGCCTTCCTCAGCACACAGCACGGCCAGACCCTGAGGGGGTGCCACCATGGGCCCCTGCACAGGCCCCCAGCTTCTAGAATTTTTTCCAAGAACTCTCCTCTTTCCACTCTTCTTGTACCTACAAGTCTCACCCGCTGCCACCTCTCCTGGGACACTCAGAATCACCTATCACTTCATTGGGCTTAGGCTTTCCTTAAAAACTAGAAGAGCCACAGACTTCAGGCTCCTTCCTCTCCCATGGGCTTCCCACACCAAAAGGATCCGTCAAGCCACAGCACAAGAGAGCACGGCTACCTGCTTGAAAGGGGAGGGAAGGACAACTAGAGGAAGAAGAAACAAAAACAAATACTTCAATATATTGTCACAGAACTATTTTATGTGCTTATTTTTACTTGAGATGATTGCTTTAGTAACAAATGATAGCAAGAAAAAATTAGCATTTCTTTTTTATTAATATTTTTATTTAATAAGTACTTTTATAGCTAGTATCAGGTACTGCTCAGAGCTGTTTATAAATATTAATTCATTTAGTTTTATAACAGCCTTATATAGTAGGTCCTATCATTATTCCTATTTTACTGATGAGGAAAAAACTGAGAGAGAAATTAAATAACTTGCTCAAGGTCACACAGCTAATAAGTGGCAGGATTTGAACCCAGGTAGTTTGTCAGAAGACATTATAGTCCAAATTGCATGATAATTACTTAGAGTTCTTGAGAAATGAATTTTTTAATGTACTTATTTTTACAATCAGAAACTCATTTCCTTTAGGTTGACCTTTGTGATCTATTTTAAAGATCCCATTTTTGCTCTCTAAATCTGTCTTGCTATACCACTGACTAAAATACAATCATGTTGAAAATAATCTCTTTCAACTTTTCAGAAAACAGCTTTCCAAGAGAGCTTTCTCTCTGATGCTATCAGCATCATTATTTTTCTTATTTAGCAATTGTGAAATTACTGCAGTTTTTTAGGTGAAGGATGCCAGATTGAGATGTCACTGACAAAAAATAATCTTATGATCATGTCCTGGTTTCAGTATCTTTAACTGATTCTTTCTTATGATCATGTGTTGGTTTCATAACCAACAGCATCATTCTTCCATTTGCAGGTGAGCTAGAATTTTTAGAAATATACAGGACTCTATATATTTTTAAAAATATACGTATGTAGAAATATATATGTAAAGAACTCTAGAAACAGAAGCTATGATTCTGTCATCTCTGTTAGTGAGAAACCTAAAGACAGAGCATTCCCACCAGCCTGACCCCAACACCACAGCAGAAACCTCAAAGCTGGTTTTTGCCAAAGAGGCAGGATAGAGAAGCAAACCTCGGAAGGAAGGAGACAACGACTCACCTGTCACTCGAGTGCTTCTGAGAGCAGGCCAGCAGAAGCAGGCACGGTTGCACCAAACCACTTACTCAAGAACATATCATTTGGGAGCGTCAGCTTTATCCTCCAATTCCATTAGCTATTCTTTGACTTTCATTCTGTGGCGTCAAAGCCACCTCAGTTCCAGCACTGAGGTCTCCAAGAAGAACTCAGCAGATAGCTAAGTCTGCCCACTCAATGCCCTATCACCTTTAGCCTGGGACTGCAGATCTGGGTAGGCCCATCGAAGGCTCACCTGTGTGGCTGACATTTACTTTGTGGCTGGGCTCATTTTTGCTGTGATATGTTTGGATACCAATTATGTTTATATCTTTTGAGACTATTATTTACTCCCACAGAACAGCTTTTCAAATTTTTATTAGATGAAAATTCAAGGGCAGAACTTTCTGAATGATCTTTGTAATCCCAGGACTTGGCACAGAGAGGCAGGTACGGAACTCAACAAGGGTGTGCTGCATGAAAGAAAGATAGCCCAGACTTCCTGTGTGACCTGGAGGGAACATTTTTATGGGTTTCCTTTTCTCTATAAATATTTCTCCCATAGGTGAGAATATAAGGTGTGTGTAATTTATAAACCGACATTTTAGAAAATTAACACTATATAGACATTTTCCTAGGTGCTAGTTTGAATGTTTGTGTCCCCCCAAAATTCATATGTTGAACCTAATGTCCTAGGTGATAGTGTTAGGTGATAGTGTTAGGGACTTTGGGAGGTGATTAGGACATGAGAGTGGAGGCCTTTTGAATGGGATTAGTGCCTTTGTGAAACACTTCAGAGAGCTCCCTTGTCCCTTTTCCCCATGTGAGGAAACCACGAGAAGTCTGCGACTGGAAGGGAGCCCTCACCCAACCATACTGGCATCCTGCTCTCTGATGTTTTGTTAGTCCAAATGGACTAAGACACTATATTATCATAAATTCTTCTCAACTGGGGATGTGTATATATATATATATATCGTTGATTAATATTCTATTGTATAAATGTACCAAAATTTTCTAGTCCATTTATTTGATGTCAGCATTTGGATTATTTCCTCTTATTGACTTTTATAAATAAAACTGTGGCCAGCTCTTTTATTTGCATTTTAGATTTGTTTCTTAGGATTCCCTGAAATGGAATTACTGGGTTAAACGATATGCACGGCTTTTTGCTAATTTGACAGTTTAAAACATGTCATCTTGGGGTTTAATCTGCATTTCTTTTCTTACTAATGGTGCCAAACATTTTTCTTTATCTTTGTTTACTAGCTATATTTCCTCCTTTGTGAATTGTTTGTTCATGTCCTTTGTCCATTTATCTGTTAGGGTATTAGTATTTTTCTTATTGATTTGCTTGAGGGGTTTTTTTGCCATTATAAAGATTCTAACCCTTGTCATATTTACTGAAAACAATTTTCCTCTTTCTGAGGCCTAGGCTTTAATGTTATAGTGTTTGTTTATTGATAAAAATATTTTTTAATTTTAATAACTTTGTAAGTGTTTTCCCTAGTGCTTTCTAACAACAAAATTCTTGAAAAAGAAGCCCATACGTATTAGGTCTCTTCTAAACTCCACTCCCTCCAAAATTCACCATTATCCAGTTGTTGATTTGAGTACTCTTCACAAGCTGCTCTCTCTAAAGCCACCAATGACCTTCTACTACCTTTCAAATTCCATGATTCATCTGACGCCCTGGAGGCATCTGGAAGGTGGAGGGCACCTCTCCCCATGGCCTCCAATGTGGACTCTGCTAATTGTCTCACCACCACCACCCACCCTTTATCAACAGCTGTTCTTTATCAATTACATTTCTCCGGTCCTTCTCGTCCTACCATTTCCAAAGATTCCAAGAGGTGTCTTCCTTTGTCCATTGAGACTTATTTCCTAGGCGATTAAGCTCATCTAATCCTGTGGCTTTAAATGACAACTCAATGCTTATGACTCCCAAGTTTCTATTGCCAACCTGGGCCTCATCCCTGAACTCCGGATTCCAACTTCCTCTGCAATACCTGCACTTGGATATCTAAAAGGCATTTCAAATTTAACATGGTCACAAGACCAATCAAATCTCAAATTTACTCTACCAGGCTTGTCCTCCCCATCCCAGCAAATGGTGACTTCAACAGATGCTCATACTAAAAGCCTTAAAGTTATGTTGACTCTTGTCCGCCATACCCTAAATCCAATCTATCAGCAAATCTTATCAAATATCTCTAGAATCCAATCATTTCTCCTCACTTTCACCCAATCCAAGACTCCATCAACCCTCACCTGAGCCACTGCTGTGGAATCCCAACTGGTCTTCCTGCTTTCATTCTTGGCCCTTGTATCATTTGTTCCCCACACCACAACCTTTTCAGAGTAAGGTAGATCATGTCACCCATGGCTCAGATCCTCCCGATAAAGCCGTTACTATGTCCTATAAGTCTGTGTGTAATCTGTCTCCCACCCCACCTCTCTGACGGTATGTCCTCCCTTGCTTACTTGGCTCCAGCCTCGTTGATTGTGTGATTTGTTAAAGACATCAAGCATGCTCCTGCCTCAGGGAGTTTGCATCTGTTCTTCACTCTACTCGGAGTGCTCTTCCACAGATACCCCCATGGCTTGCTGCCTCATCTGCTTCAGGCTGTACTCAAAAGTCATCTCTGGAGAGAGGCCTTTCCTTACTCTGTTTATTTTTTTATAGATTTTGTTGCCACCCACATAAGACATTTCTATTGTTTATTGTCTGTCTCTACTGACTAGGATATAGCTCTGTGGCAGAGAGCCTTAAAATGGTTTTCCGTGATCCCCACCTCCTGGTATTCATGCCCTTATGTAATCCTCTCCCCTTGACTGTGAGCTGAACCTAGAGATTTACTTCAAAACAAATAGGATATTGCTCTTTCTGCTATCTTTCCGTGCCGCCATAATGGTGCGCATGAATGTCCTGGCTGATGCACTCAAGAGCGTCAACAATGCTGAAAAGAGAGGCAAATGCCAGTTTCTTATTAGGCCATGCTCCAAAGTCATCGTCCGGTTTCTGACTGTGATGATGAAGCATGTTTACATTGGCGAATTTGAAATCATTGATGATCACAAAGCTGGGAAAATTGTTGTGAACTTCATAGGCAGATTAAACAAGTGTGGAGTGATCAGCCCCAGATTTGGTGTGCAATTCAAAGATCTAGAAAAATGGCAGAACAACCTGCTCCCATCCTGTCAGTTTGGTTTCTTTGTACTGACAACTTCAGTGGGCATCATGGACCATGAAAAAGCAAGACGAAAACACACAGGAGGGAAAATCCTGGGATTATTTTTCTAGGGATGTAATACATACGTTCAAATAAAATGCCTCAATGGACAAGAGAAGAATAGAATATTGAAAAAGTGATGGATGTCACTTCCAAGATGAGATTACAAAAAGACTGACTTCTATCCTGCTTTTCTCCCTACCCCCAGCCTAATGGACAGCCCCGCATTGCATGGCCAACAACTAGTGAAGACTTGAGGCTAACAGCCCACATAGGTGAGCTGGGAAACAGACCCTTCCCCTATAGGCCTTGAGATGATGGCAGCCCTAGCTTATCACTTGATTAGAGCCTTATGAGAGACCCCAGGTCAGAGGTACCCAGAGTCCACAGGTCAGGCCATGCCCATATTCCCTGACCTACAGAAACTGTGAAATATAAATATTTATTGTTTTAAACCTCTCTGTTTTGGAGTAATTTGTTACACAGCAATAGGTGGCTAAAATGAGGTCCAACGGGGCAGGATCTCTATTTGTTTTATTCTCATTATCCCCAGCATCTAGAAAAGCATACACAGTAGTAACTCAATAATATTTCTGAATGAATGAATGGATAGATGGATGGATAGATGGATGGATGGATGGATGGATGGATGGATGGATGGATGGATGGATGGATAGATGGATGGATGGATGGATAAATTTTAGGACTTGTGCTAAGAAGATGTTCTGTCTTGATATGGACAATGATGTGCTGTGTATATATGAGTATTGGAACTACTTCAGCCATTTTATTACCATGTGTGAAATCAGCCTAAATATAAGGTCAACATAGAAGGGGCAGAGCCACGAAAATAGCAAAATTGCAAAGCTAGAGCCCAAACAAGCACATCTGACCTACCCGTAAATTTTTTTGGTTACTTGAGCAAATTTCAAGCTAGCTTGGGCTGAGTTTCAGTAACTTGAAACTAAAAGCATCCTAACCTTCAACAAGATAGAGAGACAACCACCCAAATAGAAAAATACATTTGCAAGTAATGCCTCCGATAAAGGCCTAATATCCAAAATATACAAAGAATTCATACAATTCAATAATAACAAAAAACAAATAATCCAGTTAAAAAATGAGCAGAGGACCTGAACAGACACTTCTCCTAAGAAGACATACGAATGGCCATCAAACATATGAAAAGATGCTCATCATCGCTAGCTATTAGGGAAAAGCAAATCAAAATCACAATGAGATACCATCTTACACTTGTTAGAATAGCTATTATCAACAGGACAAATAATAACAAGTGTCGAAGAGGATGCGGAGAAAAAGGAACCGTCGTACACTGCTGGTGGGACTGCAAATTGGTGCAGCCACTATGGAAAACAGTATGGAGATTCCTCAAAAAACTAAGAATTGATCTATATGATCCAGCAATCCCTTTACTGGATATTTATCCCAGAGACTTGAAAACTCATATCCAAAAAGATATTTGTACACCAATGTTCACAGCAGCATTATTAATGGTGGCCAGGACATGGAAGCAACCAAAATGTCCTACAATAAATGATTGGCTAAAAAAGCTGTGGTACAATGGAATATTACTCAGCCATAAAAAGAGATGAAATACTGCCATTTGCGACAACATGAATGGACCTTGAGATAATCATGCTAAGCACAATAAGCCAGACAGAAAAAGTTGAAAACCACATGATATCACTTATATGTGGGATTTAAACCTAAAAGCAACAAATGAACAGGACAGACAGAGACTCATGGACATGGATAATAGACTAGTGGTTACCGGGGGTGGGGCAGGTATATGGGGTAAAAGGGTCAAATATGTGGTGACAGAAAGAACTCAAACCATGGGCAGTGAACACACAATGCAATATATATATGCCTTACTGTTGAATTGTACACCTGAAAATTACCAGATTTTGTTAACCAATGTCACCATAATAAAAATAAATTTAAAAAAAATGTAGTGTTAAAATAAAATAAAATAAATAATAAATAAATAAAAGCATCCTAACTATTACAGTTTTTATGACATCATTCTCTCTCCAGCCCCAAATGTTATTCTCTACCTTTTTTTCCTTTATGTCTACCTCCTTATGGCAGAGATTACACTTGTCTACCTAGTTTTCATTCTGCCTTTTTCTCTATCAGAGAACCCCAAGTTAGTTAGAGAAATAAGAGGCTGAGCTAAAGCACTACATTTCCCAGCCACCCTTGAAGATAAGTCATGTGACTAAGTTCTGGTCAATATAAAGCAGAAATTACGAGATGGATCTTCTGCTAAGACTTCCTCAAAATCAGTCTCATTTGGCTGGCAGACACATTATCCCCTTGGTCCCTTCCACTTTCCCACAGCCTGAAATATGATAGTGGGACCTAAACTGGCTATTTGTGATTGAAGCAAATTGAGGATGAAACACATACACTAAGTATGGTGAAAGAAATAGAGGGGGCCTTGTTTTCTAATGAAGCCAACTTACTAACCCAAGCACCCCACCTCAGAACTTCTGTGATAAGAGAAATAAAAATCCTAACCTTGTTCCTTGTCTTTTCTATTATCTGTAACATAACCAATGTACCTTAAATATGAACTTCCCCAGCGACTGTCTTTGTCTTCTCTTCTTAGGCCACACACTTTTTCCAGCTGATTTCAGCTACTCCTAGGACTTCAGGAATCATCTACACAATAAAGATTGATTCCTGCTCCTCCTGCCTATCTCCCAAGCTCCAGACTCAGAGTCCCAAATGATTCCTAGATATCCCCACTGGATAATACTTAGAAGCATACTGGAGGATCCCATGGATTGTGGAGTCAGGTAGATATCGTTTCCAACCCTGACTCCATTACGCTCTAGGTAACTCTGGGTGAGCAACAGCATCTTAGTTTTCTTATCTGTGACAAGAATATAATAATACTACTCCATAGGTTTTTCATGATAAAAATATACATAAAACAGTGCCTGGCATACAACCAGTGTTAAATATATTCAGTTCTCTCCTCCCCATTACCCATCACCACCCTCTACAGATGTCTTTTGTCTTCTCACCTTCAGATAAATAAATGGCTTTACCAACTACCCAGTCCGACAAGCTAGAAATCTTGGAATCTGCTTGAACTTCTCGCTGTCATTCCCCATCATTCTCCTTAGCCAATCAATGACCAAATTCTATTTATTTTATCCCAGAACTATGACCATGCTTTTCTATCTCTATTATTACTCCCTGGTTTAAACTCATACTAGCACTGTTCTGGCTTATTTCTATGGCCAACCACAGGCTCTTCACAACTTAATCTCCCACCCTTCTATCAGAGTTTCCCCATAAGAAAACAGGATCTTGTCTCAATATAGCTTATTGACCTTTCCTGAATTGTTGCCAAATCCCACAAATGATCATTCAAGGCTATTCCGATTCCCCCAGCCTCTTGCTCCTCCTTCCCCAGGTACTCATCATTCTTCAAACACATCAGACCCCTTCCTGATTACGTCTCCATACCTTTTGGGATATTTGTGTTCTGGCCCCAGTCTTTAAACCACACAATCACCATCAATATGTGGCCCATTAAGTATTTGAAAGCTAAAACTGTTTTCTCGCTGCATTTCTTCTTTTTCCTCCACCCATTCTAAAAGGATCTGTTCTTAGTCTCAGAGGAGGTTAGGCAGGTGGACAGCAGAGTTAGCTTGGAGATACTTCTCTTTCTGGCTCATATATCCCAAACCCTAAGCCTGTTGAGCTGGAGACAGCTTGAGTGAGAGAGTGTGTCTAAGGTTGACACAGGTCTAGAGGGAGGGATTTTCCCCCAATCAAGAGATGTGTGAGCTTGTGGAGGGAAAAGCAGCAGGAACCTGTGTCCTGCTTTCTAGAAGCGCCAAAGGATGTAGCAGGTACTTGGTGGAAATACCCATGATACATAGGGAGATGGGATCCTATAGCCAGGGTCCCTGTGTCACAGAAAAAGCAGCTCAGGGGACTGAAGTGCTCTGCAGGCTGAGTAACACACTGGGGTTTTAGCACAGCCTTGAGTGCAAGGGGAAGCCCCAGGAAGGACTAAGACTGAATTTCCTACAAGCCTAACAGGATGAGGGCTGAGAGTGAAAATGAAGCTGAATGAGAAGAAATGGTAAAATGGGGTATTTAGTCCACTGAGTTTCTTACCTGATTGAGAAGCAAGCCTCCACCCATCTTGTCCGGCTCCTACATGCCCCGTTTCATGTGACCTCTGATTTCATGCTCTTCTCTTTTGGCCACAGGTTTCTGGCTCCTTAGGCCTGCTGTTAGGATGTTGTGTCAACCCTCACAACTTCTTTCCTGCTTCCTTGGACTTTGAGTTTCCTGCAGAGCTGTTCACTATGCTGGCAGTTTGGGTTTTGGAGCCCTCCATTGTCTGAATTTAGAAATCCTGCTACAGCCCTTGTCCCAACACACTCCCTGCTGGGCCAGCTTCTAGCCCCCAAGGTAGAGGTGAGAAGAAATACAAGCGCAAAAAGCTTTTTTTTTTTTTTTTAACTCTTCTTTACCTGATAGCCTTTATTCATCCTTTAAGACCTTTCCCAAATGTCACCTCCTGAAAGCTTTCCTGACTTCCCTAGGCAGAGTTATTTCTCTGTGTTTCCACAACATTTTGCTTACATTTCTATGCTTATCACAATATATTATTATTTACATATTTACATGGTAGCTTTTTCATCTTGACTATGAACTCCTTGGGGGCAAGAACCATGTCTCATTCACCTGGCACAATGTCAGCTACAGAATAGGGGACTCACAAATGCTTATTAAATGCTATTTCTCACACAGTCCTCCAGACTCTCATGCACCATTCTATCCTTCTTTTTCTCTGTTTCGGGTAGGGATGCATTTAGCTGCAATTAACAAAGAATCTGACTACAATGGCTTAAATAGAGACATTATTCCTACACATAGAGTTTGGAGGTAGGCAACCAGGGCTATCAGAGACCCAGCCTCTTCCTATCTTTCTATCTTGCCAACTTTAAAGTGTTGGTCATAAGATGGCTGCTATACCTCCAAGTTAATTCATGTACTTTTATGTACATATAAGTTCTAGGCAGGAAGAAGTAGGAATGGTGTAGAGCCAT